TACACAGGCTCAGCATTTAGACTGTTGTGTGGTGCCATCAAGCAGCGTCCAAATGAGAACCTAGAACCAGTTCAAACCAAACCATTTTATGAATGAGGAGAGAAGGAAAACAAGTGCAGTGAAGTGGTGGGAAAAAATAAACGATGAAGTTAACTTGATGAGAGTTACTGAAGAAAATCCAACCCGCCCAAGACAAAGGTTGGCTGCCATTTGGGAATAAGGAACAAGTAGAGGAGGGAAGATCTGGGAGGGAAAAGATACTTCCATATCCTGACAAAAATGAGTCATGACAAAGAAGAAACTTCTTATGGCAGGGTCAGGATAAAGAGTATCAGTGGCAGAAAGTGGTCCAGGTAAGTATGGATCTCAAGGTAAGGCTAAAGAAGTGTTTCTGTGGCCATGGGAGGAGGACTTGAAATACATCAGGGATGGGAGGACTACACAGGTCTTAAAGAGAAGGATTGCTAATCAATCCTGGCAGCTCAGAAAAAGTTGAGGGTCAGGTCAGAGGAAGGTTTATGAAAGCAATACTAAAAGAAAAGAGGAAGGCAGTAAAGAAGGTGGGTGGACAGGAAACAGCAAGAGTTGTTGTAGCAGAATCAAAGAGAACACAAAGCATGGCTCTAGTCTGAATATGAACCTGTCTGTACTTTCAAGATCTCATCCCTGTCAGGAGAAGAGCATTCTCCTGTTTGGAGAAGGAAAAGAGTGTATGGGGCTCCACAGGCTCTTCTCAGAGAAAAATAATCCCTATAGGGGAGAGTAAAGTTTAACTACCAAACCAAAGGAGATAAAAGGACACATCAAAAGGCACGCAACCTGTCGTTTCTGATTCTTTACTCAGAATTAGCATCAGCACTGAGTGAGAGTATATACAAATCCCCCACAAATGAATATTTGCCTATCAGGGACTGAGTGGAGGAGCAGAGGGGCTGAAGGCCAGTGGTGGTGATGGGCTACGTGGACATCCTTAGAAGTCACACTGTGCCAGCACACACTTTGCCAGGCATTCCTGAGTGTGATGTCCCACTGCCTTGTACCACCTTCCTCAGATGCTAGGGTCACCTTTGGTAACCCTCTGACCAGCCTCAAGCACTCTTTGGTTTCTTTCTTACACACAACTGTATTTACATGTTAGGAGATCTCCATGTAACTCGAAAGATGACAGAAGCTATGTTTCTGATTCTGTTGGGTTGTGCAGGGTGCGCATGTTGAGTAGACAGGAATGACTCAAAGCCATAAGCAGACAGACTGAGAGGAGAAAGGTGAGAGACAAGGAATATTCCAAAGCCTGCTGCTGCACCGGGGCAGCCAAACTCCACAAGAAATAGGCCTGAAAGAGCTGGAAAGGAAAAAATCAACCCTTTTTAAATCTGGAAATCATTTCCTCTACCCTTTAAACATGGAAATGCAAGCAGCAATGGGCGATTATCCTTTGCGAGGAAGCACATCCCTCCTGTTCTAGTCCTTGGGGTGGCTCGTCCCATCACAACATCCACGTCTTTCAGCAACATCAGTAGGCTTTGTCCTCACAATGAATGTGAGGAAGGTTGGATATTAGGAAGAAATTTTTTACAGAGAGAGTAATCAGACATTGGAATGGGCTGCCCAGGGAAGTGGTGGATTCTCCATCCCTGGAGGTTTTTAAGATGAGACTTAGTGGCACTTATTGCCATGGTCTAGTAACCACGGCAGTGTTGGATCAAGGGTTGGACTTGATGATCTCGAAGGTCTTTTCCACCCGGTTGATTCTATGATTCTATGATCTCCACTGCACGCATGAGGAAGTCAGCCATAGGTCTGATGAAGGAGGTTGGCCGAGAACATGCAGGAAACCTGTGACCAAGGCAGGGAACTGAACCCAGACCATGGGTTCCAGTTGGGTGGAAGCTGGGTCCAAGCTGGGTGGTTGACAGATCACCTCTTCTTCTGGGGCTTTGTGATTTAAGTTTGGTGGGTTTTATAATGAACATTTTTTTTTCATTTGTCTAGTCACTACGTTTCATTTCACTCCCACTTCTGCTTTGTGAAAGCTTTTTATTCTGCTTCTTTTTGTTTTGGCTAAAAAATCAACACAACTGAAGATTAAACAGAATTCACCTTTCACTATTTGGTCTTTTCCCCCACCAACATCATCCTCTCCCTAGAGCTCAGTGTTAAGTGTCCTTTGTGCACCCTGTGCTCATGACTATGGTGTCATTAAAACACAGGAGTGATATTTAGAAGGAGATGTCTTAATTCACAGCTTCACAGAATTACAGCAACTGCTTATGCAAACAGCAGCACTGTGAGGCAGCAGAGCAGATCTGGTGGGAAAACCAGAGAAAAGAGATGCACAAAAAAGGTAAGTTCCAAAGTGAATGTTCTGATGCTGCTATGCATCACACTGACATGAGCAATCATCTGAATAACAGCTACCAGTAAGCCACTGCATCAGACCGCCTAGGATGTTTTACTGGGTTAGCTAATGAATCACTGGGAAAACGTGAGCCATGTGCTCACTGCCAGGGTAGTCGTCATGGTGGGTGAGAACAATGTCTCTTTCACTATCATCATGATCTGTGGTTTAATTGATATTTGAAAATTTTTTAAGATTCCCTGTGAAAGGCACATAATATGTACTTCTAAGACAAAATTCTGTGGTATTATACTATTTTCAAGGAGGTGCAACAAGTCAAATCACTATTTCATGAAATAATTCACACTGTTTGAATCCTTCACAGAATGTCTCAAGATTTTGAAAGGGGAAAAAAATAACTCATTTCCACCTGTGTAATAACTAACACAGTGAGAAAGAAAAAGACTTCATACTTTTGTGAGAAAATGCTGCAAACCCACAAACTTTCAAAAGTCCCCAGTATGCTATTTTCAGCTTATCTGGATGTGGCCCAAACTATCCACAACTAACCAAGGTGCATCAGAAGACTGTCATAATTCCACTCCCACCACAGGCTTTTTGTGCCCACTGTGCATCCACGGCTTTCTAGCCCTAAAAAATAACATAAGACTTTTACGCTTAAAGCAGCCGAGCAGCTGCAAAAATAACTCTGTAAAAATATTGAATACTTGGTCCCACTCAGCAGCTGGAAAAACAATTACTGAATGAAAAATTCAGCGTTTGATACTACTTAATAGTTGGGGAAAAACTATTTGTGAATCATAATTAACATTTATTTAACCATTTAAAAGCACGTATCTACTGTTTGAGGCTTCATGGAGAGCCAATATGTGGCCTTCTGGCACCATTAAACAGACTAATACAGTTAAATTGGAAGGACATGAGGCAGAAAACCGCAAGTGAATCCTTCAAGGAACTGGTACAACTGAGACTGCCTCAGCAGCATGTACTCCAACCTAAACAACTCTGTTTCTATGATCTTAAATGATTTTATGATTCTGTGAAAGCAGTGGTGGCTTGGGTCAGGACATAAGTTCCAGAAGCAGACACATCATTTACAGGCATGATACTGAAAACAAATATTATGCCTTGTTCTAAATTTCTAATTAGAAAACTGTTAGAATTTAGACTTTTTGAAGTCCTAATTTCCCCCAAGCAATTCCCTCACTTGTTCTCTGCCAATCTGTGATAGCTGAAATGCCTGATCATTGACAGCAACTGGGTCCTTTTTTCATCTCATTCACCTTCACCCATGCAGAATTGGGCTGAGTGCCTCATGAGTCCAGCAGGCACAGTGCAGGCACAAACCAGCAGTTATTCTATCTAGCAGATAACTGCTGGCAGAGCTGAGCCAAAGAATTTTGTCCAGCACAGCCTCACCTGGAGAGAGACCACAGCTGACCACAAAGAACAAAGATACACAAAGGAAAAGCCTATTGCAAAAATTGACTCAACCGCTGCATTTGAAGGACTTGGTGATGGGACTACGGGATTAGCATATATATATATATATGTATATAAAACCTAGTTTATGTACAGCAAATGTCACCTGTAGGGAATATTTTGCAAGGTGCTGAGGAGTGTGAGCAGCCTGCATAATATGCTTAACTAAGTGATTTGAACTCTAAGTCGCTAACTCTCCCACGATTGCTATCTCAAGCGACCATGTTATCAGAGGCCATTTCAAGGAAAATGTACTTATGTCATAAATACTTCTCATATCATACTTCTCGTAACCTGCAGCAGCAGAAAAATGAAGGCAATATAAAAAGAAATAGAAGATATAATTTCAGGTCACAAACATCCCCAAATGGATTATGCTTTCTAAAGGAATTGTTTAAATAGCATGATGAGGTTTTCTTAGTGTACATCTTGAAGTTTTCTAGGACGATGCTATTAATTCTAAATGCAAACACGTTCTCAATGCCATGCTCAATGCAATTGGCTCGTAATATGAAATAGGGCCCTCTACATTGAGACTCACTCATCACTAGGATGATCTCAATAATCCTTGTGGATCCCTTTCCAAATCAGGATATTCTACAACTCCGTGATCATGGAAACAGATGCAGCTGACAAATTCACCTCCATTCACAGCCTGCTGAGGTTCCCAAGCCATATCCCCTGCATGCCCAAAGAGACAAACCAGTGCTCTTTTTGGATCAGAAAGGGCAACCTGTCATGGACGATTTCAAACTGAGTTAGGCAGATCACGGTTTACAAAAATCTCCACAAAGCATTTGCCCTAGCAGGGCTACACCAGCATAGCTAAAATGCCGAAATATAAAAATGCAGGTAGGGATGAACACTCAAAAAACATGTATGCCACAGAGTTAATGACAAAATAGATCAATATGTACTTGGCCAAATTTCTTCATAGGCTTACATGTTATCAGAAGCGTTCAGGTACTATGCTGGGGAGTTTTAGAACAAGTCAGCAAAAAGCCTTTAAAGGGCTTTAGCTCTATGCTTCAGATTCCCACATGCAGTGCTAATGTCAACTAGATGTTAAACTACGAAATTATAAGGAACAACCAAAACATCTCAAAACCACCCCAAAACTGAAGAAATCATTTGATGCTGCTTTTGCAAAAATACTTACTTACAATACAGTCCTGGAAGCAATTTCCAAGCAAGCCAACTGCTGCTCTAGACAGTTTAGTGGATGGTGTGGCTCAGCTCTTTCATACAGGCAGCACCTACAGTTATATCTAGAAAAGGAGAGATAACCAAAATTCTTTATGAGCAAATACACAAATAAAACAATCTTTCTCTTTAAAACTATAACACGGTTAAAACTAGCTTCAGTATGTCTCAATAAAGTTCTCTTACCAAGCTTCATGTGTGCTGCCTGCTCACAGGAACAAGCCCCAAGATGCAGCCCAAGCCAGCCTACGGTGCATAAGCCAAGAGCGACTGTGCTTGAGAAAAAAGCCCCACACCGAGTGCATCAAAGCAGCAAACAAACGAGCGCAGCTGTTTTTCTCATCTAGTTCTACTTAAAACATTTGCAGGAAACGCAAGATGAATTAGTGCCAAAGAAATGTAGGTGATTTCAGCAAGGCCAGGAATTCCAGGCACCAACTTCTATTTTCTCTCTCTTGAGTGGGTGTTCACTTGTAAGTTGTAGACACGTTAGCAATTCAACAACTGAGCGAATTAACGTTCGGCTTAGCAGTCATTGTTAGGTTGGGAGGTTATTACTGCTTGTTCTGCTAAAGTGACAGGTTTAAATTGGTTTGTATCGAAAAGTTGTTTTCTACAACACATACTCCCTGTCTTTTTGTACGGAATAATTTTCTTCCATCATGTCGACTGCTACTGTACAAACCAATAATGCCAGCTCCACCACAGCAGCTGGGATAGGCAAGGAGAAACAGCAAAGGGACAGGTGAGGAGGAGAGAGCACTCATCACCCATCATTTCTCTTTGGGCTGCCACCTTGTTTTTTTCCAGGTATTTTATGTGGTTGATTCAAGACTTTTCAACAAAGGACTATGCTTGCATTTGCGGGACACGTTCTGTTTTTTAAGCAAGGAAAGGCAAAACACAAGAGTAAAGAGAGGGCTTTACTTCATTGAGCCATGAGTCTGAGAAAGATGTTTGCCATCAGGCACTGCTTGGTGCACAGGATGGAGAGTTGTGATTTCCCAACTTTGCAGGTGATCATTTTTAATGGAAAAACCAAGTTTTCAAGGTTGAGCTGACTGGTACAGAGGAAAAAAACATACCACCACATGTCAAATTTTTGCAGACTCAGATCCATTTTGTACTAGTAAACGAGCTTGCATCCTTCCCTCCCTCGTGTTTTTTTTTTATTTTAGGGTAGCTCACAAGCTGCTGACAACTCACACTGTACTAAGAGCTGTTCACACCGCACAAAGTGTTTACCACTCACAACTGATGCTAAAAATTAATTTACAGTACCGCTACAGCAAGCTTTGACAAATTGTCATGTGTTGACACAGTCATAAGTTGTTGGTTAAAAAAAGTAACACTTCCCTCTTCTGCCACTTCATGTTTGAGACCAGGGATGGGCACATTATGCAAAGTTTGAGGGTTTGTAAGCTTCATAAATGTTTGGGCTTCACAAAACAAGCTTGGTTGTGAAAGTTTTTTCTCTTACGGTTAGGCATGTGTTTATTGCCAAAAAGACTCTAGTAAGAAAAAAAAAAATCCTTTCCCATCTACCAAGATCTGTGTGTTGTGCAAAACTAGGAGAAAAGGCTGTAAAATAAATAACCTTGTATGATACTTGTTCTAGGTAAGATCACAGCAGTGACAAATAGCCTGTACCAACTCCTCAGAGCTGTAGACACCACCCTCCTACTGTAGAAAGGAAGGAAAAAATACAGCTACAAGTAAGAGTTTTAATTGTTCTCAGTTGTCACACAATGTTATCTTAAGTGAACGCATTTATTTCTCGATTCTCATGTGTACCTCTATATGGAAAAAAAACCCCAGCATTCATCAGACGAGGTCCAAATTGATTTCCGTGTACTCAAGATAGTAAGTGTTAGTCAGCACTCATGCCCACCCCTGGCAGCTCTTAAATTGTAACTCCTTCTCTTCTTCCTCAGGGCAGGATAATTAATCTGTCTCGTTTACAACCTGGAATCAGTAATGGACATAAAGGTGTTTCCAGCTGACACGAGCAGTGTTTCAGTGGTGATACAAACTTAAAACATTAGCCCCACACTAGCCTAAATCCAGGTAAATAAACAAAGCCAAGCAAAATGAGCACTCAGAGCACCTGCCAAATGGGCTTCATGAGGAGCACTTAAAAGCCACTGCTTTACATTGTGCACCAGTGACCTGGACTTCCTGCGCTCTAGTACCTCTCTGCAACAAATCTCAGAGCACAGACTGCATGAGGATGCAAAGCAAATTCATTCAGGAAATTAGCTTGGCAATACAAGGAATTAATTTTCTCTTTTTTTTCCCCTTAACGATTGTACAAAGTAGAGATGCTTTGAGTGGTTCCAAAGTCCTCAAGAGAGGCAACGCTGTACCTCTGTAGGACCAATCCAACTGCCCCCTGCTTGCATCAGTGCAAGAATCATCCATCTAATTTCTCTACAAAATCCCAAACACGTTACATCAACCAAAAAGACCTCCTGCAAAACATTAATGGGGGGATGAAATTTCATACAGTCTCTTCACCTCACACACCCTGTACAGAATTTCTTCATCATTTGAGATGTAACTCTGACAAACTACTTATTCTCAAATAGGTCTAATGGAAGCAAAGTACATTTACATCATTACAGTCAGGATGGACATTACCTTGTGCTGCCAGCTGGAATGGTATCAACCGTGCTTAATTAACTCATTGCTGTACATTCAGAAAATCACTAAAGTGGCAACTCCTACCTTCCTCCTCCAAAGTAACAAAAATTTACAAATATTTTCTGTGCATCCCATGAAATGCATTATTTCACTGGATTGAGTCCAAGAGTCAATGAGGCTGAAATAAAAATGATTCAACTATTAAGTCAAAAACTTCAGCTGTCTATTTACCTAAAAGGCAACAATTTTCTCCTCCACTTTGGAAGAAAACTAATTTTACCATAAGTTATCTCAGTTGCCAATATACGATCTCTCCTGTGCATTTTTACTTCTTTGCTGTATAGAAGGGAATATAAGGACCTTAAACTCACTGAGTTCTTACTTTGGGATGGAAAGAACCCAAGATATCCCCACTAAGCGAGTGAAGAATACTATGAGGAAAAAAGTGGGACTTGGGTTTTCTGAAGTTTTTTTTTCTTTACGTTTGTTTATTTTGGAGTGCTTTTCTGAGACAAAGTATCTGTTTACCTGTGACAAGTCTTTCCCTGAGGGATCGAACTTGTGAGTGTGAAGAAACCACCCACAAGCAGAAGGGCCGTTCTTGCCAAGTCTCTTTTGTGAGCCTGTGCTTGCTGTAACCAATACAGGGCCAGTGCAGGAAGGTTCAGTATCAGGGAAATGCAGACTGTGGATCTCCAGTGGTCTCCCTGCATCACACCTCTCTGCTCTGCCCTCCAGGTTTCATCACAAGGAGGACGGCAGAGTCTTGGCTGATCCCACAGTCACACTCCCTCAAGCTGCTATATGCAGGGCATCAGGAGAAAGCCATAAAGATGACATTCATCCCAGCAAGCCATCACCAACATTTCAAAGGCAAAAGGAAATATATGAAGCTGTGCTGCTCCTTGATGATACACACACACAACTGAAGGGGTAAATACATGTATTGAATATATATATACTAAATATGTACTGGATAGTCTCTGCTTGCATGGGATGCAGACTGCATGAAACAAATTCTCCTGGCTAGAAATTCAAAAGGAAAGGAAGTCTGCAGCTTTCTTATTCCATGGGAACTGTTCTTTCAACCAGTGAGACAAGACGCTAACCCAAAGATTTCAGAGCTGCTGGGGTTTAGGGGGGTAGAGCCTCTCCTCTCCCAAGGCAAGTAGCATCAGTGACTACCTACACTGTGGGCAATTTTCTCGTCTCTGCTCCATGCCTGTCTTCACGTTGCTGCAACGGTCACCAACTCATCTCTGTTACACAGAGCTTGGCCACTCAGGAGCAACAGGGAAGCTGCTTAACTGGCAGCCTGGCAGGATCTCCTGTGAGCATGTGGAGGTGGGAGGAAACCTCCTAACTTCCCACTTGGGGTGGGGACATGCTTCAAAAGTGGTTCCAGTTCTTAAAATTTAAGAAAGGGCTGAGATGCTCAAACTGTCTTGAACAGAAAGGATTTCAGTACTGGAATACTGGAGATATTTAAAAGATGTGTAGATGTGGCACTTATGGACATGGTTTAGTGGTGGACTCGGCAGTGCTGGGTTAACATCGAGTTGGACTCGATGACCTTAGAGGTCTAAAGATGCTGTTCCCTTCCTGACTCTCCTCCCCCTGTGAAGTAGGGAGCAAGGGGAAGCAGTATCTCTGCAAGCATGAAACAGTGGGAAAAGCCATTAGATCTTTGCCTTTCTAGAGCCCACTTTGTATTTCCAGCCCTTTTAAGCAGAGGAAAATTAGTGTCCCTGCAAAGAATGTAATGAATTGAAAGCTGGCATCTGTGTCCACCTTTGCTGCTTCATCAGAAAGGAAGTGCTAGGATCCCTCAGAAGGCAGACTGGGAACTGCCTTCCCCATGCACACAGGTGTACTCACACACATGTGCGTGGGCATCTGTAGTGGGTTTCTGTGGCTAGGTTTTGGTAGCTGAGGGGCTACAGGGGTGGCTTCTGTTAGAAGCTGCTAGAAGCTTCCCCTGTCTGTTGAAGCCAATGCCAGTCGGCTTTAGGATGGGCTTCCTGCCGCTGCCCAAGGCCAAACCAATCAGGAGTAATAGCAACGCCTGGGTGATAAGATATTTAAGAACAGAAGGCTGTTGCACAGAAAGAATTCCAGCCAGGGAAGAGCAGAGTGAGAACATGGGAACAACAATGCAGACACCAAGGTCAGTCCAGAAGGAGGGGGAGGAGGTGTTCCAGGTGCTGGAGATGAGGCCCCTGCAGCCCGTGATGCAGACCATGGTAGAGCAGCTGTTCCCCTGCAGCCCATGGAGGACCATCGGGGTGCAGAGACCCACCTGCAGCCCATGGAGGAGCCCATGCTAGAGCAGGTAGGTGCATGAAGGCCTCCCCCGTGGGAGGCCCAGGATGGAGCAGGGTCCTGCCAGAGACCTGCAGCCCATGGAGAAAGGAGCCCATGCTTGAGCAGGTTTTTCCCGGGTAGCACTTGTGGCCCCTGTGGGGGACCCACGCTGGTACAGCTCATTTGTGAAGGACTGCACCCCATGGAAAAGTGACCCACGGGACAGCAGTTTCATGAAGAACTGTTGCCTGTGGGATGGACTCATGCCAGAGAGGTTCATGGAGGACTGTCTCCCATGGGAGGGACCCCACAGGAGCAGGGAAAGGACTCCTCTCTCTGAGTGGCGGCAGAAACGACAACTGACCGTAACCCCCATTCCCCATCCCCCTGCACTGCTGGGGGGGAGGAGGGAGAACATGGAAGGAAGGAGGGGTGGGGGGAAATTGTCTGTAAGATTATTTTACTTCTCACTCTTTTGCTCTGATCCTATTAGTAATAAATTTAAGTACTATCCTCACTTTGAGTCTGTTTTGCCCATGAAGGTGATCAGTAAGTGACCTCTCCCAGCTCTTATCTCAGCTCATGAATCCTTCACTGGTTTTTTTCTGTCCTCTGTCCAGTTGCAGAGGGGAGTGAGAGAGCGGCTTTAGTGGGTTCCCGGCATCCAGCTGGAGTCAACCCACTACAGCATGCGTCTCCTTTGCTTTACCTTTTTTTGTTTTTAACTGTATATACTAGTATATTTTTCAGTACTTTCTTAGCATGATGTACATTGTATGGTGTGTAACGATCAATGACAGCATTATCTACAGCATTAGCACAGAAACATGTAATTCATTGAAACAAGACTTTCTTCTTCCCCAGCTTCTCATAGATAGTTTTGTTAAATAAATCTATCTAATTTCTTGCTTGATTTGCGTCTACTCAGATCAAACCTTTAATAAAGCCAGAAGCATTTTGTTTTTAAAAAATATATTCCCATCCTCCCAAATCAAATCTCTACTTCTAGCTGAGATAATATCATCCTGTTTTTACTGTAATGTAATACTTCTAAACAAATGAACTTAAAAATCCAGTTATGGCAATGTACAACTGAAGGGCTCTAGAGGTTTATGTATCACATGGCAAAAATCACTCCTTGTACACCTCATACACACTCCTTGTATAACCATAGGATTCTCTGGATGTTTTTGAGCAACCTCAGGCCAGAAAGGTAACGAGGTAATGAAGAAAATAATGTCAAGTTTTATGAGATCTTTAGCAAAAATGTTTAAATTGAGCCATGTGGTTAGCACATTCTGAAATCCTCCTATCCAATCTATGTAGCATTATCTTATATGTAATCTGGTTACAAGCAAAATAAAAGAGACTGCTGGAAACCTTGCTTGACCTTTTGATTCACAGTGATTTCCACAGCAGAAATCACTGCAGGAAAGGTACCAGTCAAAGTAGTTAACTAGTAGTGTACAATCCACCTTTAATACTTGCTGATAATGACAACTCAATGAAAGGAGGAACATATTCCCATGTCCTCTGAGCCAGCTATTCTTTATAGGGTGTTCAAGGAGCCACCATCCAATTTATATACACTTTCGTACTTCCCTCAAAATTACAAAAGCATCCCAGTTTCAGGAGTTGCTCGGTTGCAGTGAGAACATGTTCAAAGAACCTGTCTGTTCAGCAACATGGACACCAACACCGGCAATACAAACGTTGAAGAGGCATGTGGGTTTACGCAACAATTTCAGTCAGCATAAAGAAAAGCAAACTAGGACACAAGGATCCTAAATTAATCCAGTTCCTGTCTTCCCACTGACTTCCCTTACCATTGGAAAGACTTTGGTTTGGATTTTAGTCAAGTCTGGTTTACAGTGCCCAACTTCGTCTGTCATAAAAAAACTCTGACCCTGCTGGAATGTTACTCATTACGCAGCCCTGCAAAAATTATTAGCTACATTACAAGGCATTTCCCTTTGGAGACCAGAAAGGGTGAAGAAAGGGGATGGAGAGTGACAGCT